ATCACGTAAGGGGGGTAATATAACACTGTAGAAAAAATATATTTCTTTGATTCAATGATTTCGTCTCCTTCCTTCAGGAAATAGAAAAAAGAAGAGCAAATTAAAGCTAAAGGATTAAAACCTTGTCACTTGATCTCCTCTCTAATACACTTTGGGCTTGATCTGGCTTTTAATATTTTCTCCATTTGTGTTTTCCTTTTTTTTTTCATATTGAGGCTTATCTCTGCTGCATTTTGTCACTGTGAGTAGCCTTCTTGAGTCTTTGTTATGTGTTTTGGTGAGGAAAAAAGCCAGTCAGGGTGCGACGTAGCAACGATGAAAAATACAACTTTCCTCTAATTCCTAAATGCTTCCTCCCCGCCCCCCCCTATCATGATCCAAATTCTACCTTACAAGTCTGACTAGACCAGAGGATGTACACTGGTACAGATAGGAACTGGAAACACAGGGAATCCAGGGCGGATGATCCCTTCAGGACCAGTGGTGTGAGTGGCGATACTGGGAGGGTAGAGGGAGAGTGGGTTGGAAAGAGGGAACCAATTACAAGGACCTACATGTGACCTCCTCCCTGGGGGGTGGACAATAGAAAAGTGGGTGAAGGGAGACGTCGGACAGGGAAAGACATGACAAAATAATAATTCATAAATTATCAAGAGGTTATGAGGGAGGGAGGGGAAAAATGAGGACCTAATGCCAGGGGTTTAAGTGGAGAGGAAATGTTTTGAGAATGATGAGGGCAATGAATGTACAAATGTGCTTTACACAATTGATGTATGTATGGATTGTGATAAGAGTTGTATGAGCCCCTAATAAATTGATTTAAAAAATAGGTAACTTAAAAAAACCTTACACACCTGTTAAACAAATTTAATCTGTAGCTAAACAAAGTTTGCTTCCTACAAAGGAAACTCCAGGCCCAGCGGACCTCAGTGCTGACTACGAGCAGAGAGTTAAGAATGAAGTCGTACCAATTCTACACAGACTCACAGAAAACTGAAAATGAGAGAAGCTTCCCAACTCACTCGATAAGGCTAGCCTTCCCCTTATGTCAAAACAAGGGGAAACTATCAAAAGCAAAGAATACACTTGTGAGTGAATCCTCGTTGGAGCCAGCTATGGGGTCACAGAGACACAGACTGGAGTTGGTGCGAGGAAGAACAGTTCCTTCCCCTAGAGAACTGAGGTACAGCACTGGGAAGTGGAAGGCGTGGCCTCTAAGACATGGCCTCTACTGTCTACCCGCTGGAATTCTGGAGACAGCTGTGGAAAATAAGCCAACAAATCGCTATCTTTGCCTTCCACCACCCTCTTTTTACCCTTACCTTTTGCATTCCTTGTCCTCACCTAGGACGCAGAGAAAGGCAATAATTTCCCAGCTGGATAGGATGTTGGTGGCTCTATATTTGGGTTTGTAAAACCTACAATGATATTATTGTAATAAGAACAGCAGGACTTTATTTTCAGTGGGCATGGGGAATATGGCTGTCTCCCAAGGATATGTCGTTATATAATTTAAAGACCACCTCCCTCATTAACCAGAAGGCTACACAGTGGCCCAGAGGTCAATGTTTTCCACGAGGCCCTAACTCAAAAATATAGCAGAACTCAACCATGCCTTTAAGCTAGGATCAAGTTAATCCTAGAATGCTTGTAAGTGTGCTTCCCGGAGCCCCATCGTTTCTCTTTATTGAATCAGATCCTGAACACCGGTTAAGAACTGTTGCCAATACCAGTGGCATACCTGCAGGGAGTGTCACCGGTGGATAGGACCTGGCCTTGGGGTCAGTCTTGAAATTGAATCCCAGCTGAATTACACCACAACCTGAGCAAGTCAGGTAACCACTCAAGACTTTCCCATTTGTTAAAAGGAAATTATATGAAGGCTGCCACAAAGAGCGGTTGGTAAGACCTATTGCTATAGTTGTTAGGTGCCAACGACTCCATAGGAACACAGATCCATAGCAATACAACAGAATGAACAACCACCTGATCATGTGTCATCCTCACGATCATTCCTATGTTTAAGCTCATCGTTGCAGCCATTGCGCCAATCCGTTTGTTGACTTGTTGTTTCACTGCCTTGTGGTTTCAGGACCCCTTGACTTGATCAAGCATGGTGTCCTTTTCAAGGGACTGGTCTCTCCTGATAACATGAGCTGGTCGCGTCATCCTTGCCTCTAAGGAACCTTCTGGCTGTACTTCTTGCAAGACAGATTTGTGTGTTCTTTTGGCAGTCCATGGTACTTTCAATATTCTTCCGTAGCTCCATTAATTCAGATGCGTTGATTTTTCTTTCGTCTTCTTTATTCAATGTCCAACTTTCCCATACAGAGGAGGTGATTAGAAATATCACGGCTTGGGTCCGGCACACATGGTCCTCAAAAGAACATCTTTGCTTTTCAACATTTTAAAGAAGTCATATGAAGATCTACCCAATGCAATGCACTGTTTGAGTTCTTGGCTGCTGCTCGCATGAGAATTGATTGCGGATCCAAGAAAGACCAAACCTTTGACAACTTCGATCTTTTCTCTATTTATGTGAGCATTGTGGTGTTCTTTATATGGAGTTATAACCCATACGGAGGACTGAATCCCGGCTCTTCATCAGCAAGTGCTTCAAGGTCTCCTCACCTTCAGCAAGCAAGGTTGTGTCATCTGCCTATCTCAGGTTGTTCATAAGCCTTCCTCCAATCCTGATGCCGCATTCTTCTTCACATGAGCCCACTTCTCTGATTATTTGCTCAGCGTACAGATGGAATACGTATGGTGAGAGGATACAATCCTGATGTACACATTTACTGATTTTAAAGCATTCAGTATTCCCTTGTTCTGTTCACACAACTACCTCTTGATCTACTGACAAGCATAATTAAGTATCCTGGGATTCCCATTCCTTTCAAGGTGACCCAGAGTTTGTCATGCTTCCTACTTTGCATAGTCAATAAAACACAAGGAAACATCTTTCTAGTATGGAAGGTGACAGCAAGCGTGTTCTGACATGTGGCTAGCATAGACTAGGTGATCAGGAAATGAGAGGTTTCCCTTCTCTCTCAGGAGCAAGTCCGCCTGTGGAGCAAGCGAAGCCAAGTATGGCCCAGGCAGGATGCCTTCAGGGTCCCTCATTCCCACAGAATCAGAGACTGAGCCCAGGACATCTCCAGAAGCTGTAAGTGCTGCTCAGCCAGCCCACGGTGCACTCCTGATCGGAGGGGAGGCGGGAATACCAGGCCTTCGAAGAGAGGCCTGACTCCCAGGGCTGACACTGCAACCCAGGGTTGCTGTGCGGGCAGTGGGGAATGCCCATGGAGCGACTCACACTGGTCTCACCTGACGTTAACCCTGGTGCTGATGAGAGCATCAGAGGACTCTGTGGGTGGGGAGGAATGCATCCAGGTGGAAAGCCAACAGGTTTGGAGCAGGAGCCACCACAGGGTGCTTTTCTGAAGCTCAGCAGCAGAGTGCTACAATTTAGGGGAGCGCCCCCAAATGAAAACCCAGTAGCAGACAGTCACCTTAAGGGGCCGGGAACAAAGGAAACTGGACTGAACCTGTAGAGAAGCTGGCAAAGCACCGAGGGCGTGAAGTTGGTGAGGAGCAAGAAGGCTTTGAGTGAGTTCTGAAGAGTGAGATAGCTGTTGGATGCCTGCTATCATATTATCAGCAAACGTACACACACAAAGGTAAACGGACGATCAGAGCATGTCTCCAACTGCCCTATGTAGACATGGGACTAATAGGATGGGAATTTGGGGGGGTGGGGTGGGCAGGGAGAAGCCCCTGAAAAGGATGTCTTATAAACTGTTACTATCAAATACTATCTGCCCAATTATTAAAATAAACCACCTATTTCAGCCATATTAGCGCTGAGCGAATGAGGAAAGACACATCATTTAAAAAAAAGAAGAAGAATGAATTACCTATGGAATAAACCTTGCCTCTACTAGAGTGACCCCATTAGTTATTGGAATTGATCAGCTAATTTTGGAACAGCTGAAGGCCACAGTACCGAGGAAATTGCAGCCCAAGAAGCGGGTCTGGAGAGAGCTCTTGGTCCATAGCTCACTGTGGACTAAGGACGCAGAGGCTGCCCTTGCCAGGCCCTGCTGAGTAGACACTTGGGGAGAGAGGATTCTTTAGGAATGTTGGAGGAGGTGGTGCCAGGGCACCCCTGCATAATACCTGCATCTGGAATGAACTCGGGAGTTTGACATCACCCAGGGCCAAGCAGGATGTGATTTAACGGAAGCAGACTAGGAAACATATGATAGGGGTGTTCCTATTCCTCGTCTCGGTTCTAAACAGTGATGACCAATTGAGGAAACTTCCCATCCAAATGATTATATGCCTCCCTCCCTACCTCTACCAGATTTAAGTTGCACAGATTTATGCACACCCATGTACGCATACACATCCATGCACAAAGCACACGCAACAATACATACATATACACGTGTATATATACACACAATAGCACACATATACATGCATACACTTACACAAATACTCTGACACATGCACTACACACTAACAAGCATGCTCTAACAGACACATACCTAGATGTATACATAGAGAAACTCAGTACACATGCAAGTAGACCTTCACATGTACCCTCAACCTCCTGCAGAAAAAAGTGGCCTTTGTCCCACAGGAGTCCCCCATCCTTTTGCTCTCACCCCACTGCACCCCATTGGCTGACTTGCCCCAGCCCCACTCCTAACCCTGACTTTGTTCGGATACCGCAACCCCACATCGTCCCACAGATCACTCTCTGACGCTTAACTTCCTGTGCACTGTGGTCCAGACTCTTCTTTGGGTTTCCACTTGCTCCTGTGAGCATCTTCTCCAATCCAGCCTGCCCCTCTGCTTGTCCCATGGAGCTGACAGGGAGGGCCTACTCCAGTCTCCTACATCAGAAGGGGGTCTAAAAGAAGAGCCCTGAGCTTTGCAGTACGGAGGACTTAGCCTGGCCGCCTCCCTCGCCCTCCCGAGGTGACTCTTACCTCATTCACAAAGACCCAGTGGCTGTCCTTGGAAGCCAGGTTGGTCTCCACCGCCTGCAGAGAGAGAGAGAGAACAAATGTGGGTAGGAGCAAGTCAGAGGCTGGCAGTTACACTGGACGGTTTGCAGGAACACTGTTCTGGAAGACTTTTGCTTAACTAAGCAAGCTGCCCCACTCCATCTGAACGCAGATATCTGGTTTCTGGCTGTTCCTGTCAGGTGTAGAACAGAGGCTCAGCTGAAGACAGAAGTATGCACCCCCTTCTGCCTACCCAGCCCCTCTCTGGAGAAAGCAACAAACTACTCAACCGAAAAGACTGTCAGAGGGAGACCTTTCTCAGTGCTGGAGGTGAGAGGTCAGGGAAACAGAAGGAAGGATGAATAGTGTCCTGTCCTATTGATGTAGTGATACAGCTGGGCTATGATACGCGTGGCCAGCAGTTCAAAACCACCAGCAGCTCCTCAGGAGACAGGCTGGGCTTTCTACTTCCATGAACAGCTATAGTCCCAGAAACCCCCTCCCCCGCACCCCCGCCCCCACCCCGGGGCTCACTAAGAGTTAGTGTTGACTCAATGGCGGTGAGTTTGGTTTTGTGTGTCCTGTGGTGAGAAATGACCCTGGGAAGTTCAAGGCTTACCGCTGGGGTTGGATAGGAGCAGAATGCACAGAACCTGGCGAGGCTCATTTCAAGTCCTGGACAGTGAGCATCCCTCCACGGATGGTTCTCTTTATACAGCACACATGCACATGCTCATTTAAGCACATACATTTCATAGCACGCACCTTACTTGCCCCGAGTATCAAAAAACAGAAGCAGACAATCCCGTGGCTGCTGAACTGATCCCCACTCCTGTCCCCGTGTGGGCCAATGGGAGAACTGTGCTCCATCAGGTTTTCGTAGCAATCACTTATTTGGAAATAAATCCCTAGGTCTTTCTTTGTAGATACCTCTGAGTGGACTTGAACCTCTAACCTTTCAGTTAGTAGCCAAGTGTGCTGTTTGCACTACCCAAGGAACTCCCATGGCTACAGTAGTCAGTTACCTGTTTATCCATTTTTTTATTGTCTAGCTCCTCCACCAGGCTGATAACTACGTGGAGTCAAAAGCCATGTCTATCTCGGTCATGTTTGTGTCCTAGAACTTTACTCAGTAGTTACAGACAAGTTGATTCTGAATCATGGTGATGCTATGTGTGTCAGAGAAGACATGTCCACCATAGGACTTTTACTGCCTATTTTTTTAGGAAGCCACCAGGCATTTCTTCAAGGCACCTCTGGGTAGACTCAACCCTCCACTATTTTAGTTAGTGGCTAAGCACAATAATGGTTTGCATAAGTCAAGGACATAGTAGGTGTTCAATAAACATTGCTAAATATAAGAATTTCTGTTGTATTTTTTTATGACTGCCCTTCCTTCCTCCAATTGGAAAGACAATCAATTCAACAAAGTAGAAAGGACTTAGGGATTCTAAGCATGTCCTGTAAGAACACTACTCACAGTTAACATGTGCCATGTGTCTGCTGAGCACCAGGCACCATGCCAGACCATTCAAGTACCTGTGAGGGAGTCATCTAATTATAGTCCTTTTTAAAATATATGCTTTTGCAATGTAATTTCCATGAATCTTTTTATTTGAAATAATGCAGAAAAATAAAAATCATCAGAATCATCCCCCAATTTAAAAAGCCTGATAAAGTCAGGGAAATGCCCCCATTTATTCTTCCAAATTCATTCCCCAGAGATCATTTGTGGTATTTGATATATTCTCTTCTATAAACATGCCTGCACCTTTATGGTCACATTTATAAATGCATATCTACTTACACACATCAGGAAGGGAATTTTACTTTAATGAAATCATAAAATACACATCAGATTATAACTAGACTCTTTCTAAACTAATCTACACATCAAGAGAGAGCAGTGGGGGGTTCAGTGGTAGAAGTCTTGCCTTCCATGAGGGCAATCCAGGCTCTATCCCAAGCCAACTCACCTCATGCATAGCCACTACCTGTCAGTCAGTGGGCACGTATGTTTCTATGATGCTGAACATGTTTCAGCAGAGCTTCCAGAATAAACCAGAGTCGGGAAAACTGTCTTCCAATCTACTTCCAAAATTAGATGAGGCAAATCCTCTGGATCACAGTGAAACTGATCCACAACTGATCATGAGGATGCTGTATTCCAACCTGCATTGAGTCACTGTTGAGTCGGGGGATGGGTCTTAAAGGCTTGAAGGTAAACAGGGCCCATCTAGCTGAGAAGCAGCAAAGCCCACATGGAAGAAGCACACCAGTCTGTGTGATCATGAGGTGTCGAAGGGATCTGGTAGCAGGTATCATAAGAACAAAAAAATCTTACCATAGCAAATGGGAGGGGGATGCAGAGTGGAGATCCAAAGCCCATTTGTAGGCCACTGGACATCCCATTACAGAAGGGTCGCAGGTTGCGATGTAGTAACGATGAAACATACAACTTTCCTCTAGTTCCTAAATGCTTCCTCCCCACCCCACTATCATGATCCCAATTCTACCTTACAAATCTGGCTAGACCAGAGGATGCACACTGGTACAGATAGGAACTGGAAACACGGGGA